GTTTGAAAGCACTCCTTCCTATTCTCACTGAAGTCCTCAGGAGGAACTGGGATGGGATGGAGATGGGGAAGAGGCTAGGGATCCAGAGGCCTTAAACAGAAAGGCCCCTGAAAAATACATGCTGAAAAGATACAGATAGTTGATATCTGAGGACTAGGACCAAGTTATCACTTACCCTCTCACCAGGGCCTCGGTTTCCCCATCTGTAGTGTGGGGCTCATAGTTCTAGTTCTGTTCCTTATGGGTCAAGAGGTCCTGTAGATTGACTTTTGGCTGGAGGCACAGAAGCCCTGTAATAGACACAGCTTGCGAGCACACTCATGGGGCCCTTTCCTGTTTGAGTGGCCCTGCTCTTCTTTTTTGTTTTGAAGGGTCTCACATAGCCAAGGCTGGCTTCAAACTCCCTATGTGTGCTAGCCAGGCTTAGCAGCGCATGCCTTTAATCCCAGCACTTGGGAGGCAGAGGTAGGTGGATTTCAATGAGTTCAAGGCCAGCTGGGGCTACAGGGATACCCTGTCTCAAATGGACCAAAAAAATAATAGTGTGCAGTGCTATAGTGACAGTGACACCTCCATCTCAGTGGGTTCCTGCCTGGGGCCTCCCAACTTACTGCCAGGGGGCCATGCCTCCCAAAATGGCAGAAGGCCGAGGGCCACGGACAGAGGAGATTGCTTGGAGGCATGTGGAGTGGAGCTGGTTGCTGCTGGCAGGTGCCAGAGTGGGATGAGGCTCCACCACAGTGGCACAGGTCCCACCTGCTGGGCTTTAGGCTCAGTTTGAAGTCCCCACAGCCTCTTCCTGTCTCAGACGCTGGAGCCTCTAAGTGCTCCAGGCTCACAGCCCTGAGTCACTGCCTCTCTCTTCCCAGTCCCTTCTCTCAGTTCCAACCAGGCCAACCCCCCTCCACACCAGACCTGCTCCTGGCTCCTGGCCAACCCCACAGCCAGCCCTGGATGTTGTGAAAACCCATGTCTCCCCTCAACAGAAAGAACCGCCCCCCCCCAAGGCCTAGAGTGCTGTGGTGCCATGAACCTCTGTCTCCCTGCTGCTTCCCTGTGTGCCCAGTGCACTGTGTGCTCAGCACTATGTGCCCAGTACACTGCCCTCCTCCATCCCACAGGGGTCACCACCCCTTCTAGGTTTAGCCTCCTCCTGCCTGTGAGTTTGAGTCTGCTTTTCCCTGCCTGGGAACTGGCTCCTCTTCTCATTCAGGCTTCCTGCTGATGTTTCCTCTTCATAGGGCTCTGATCTCCCACCTAGGTTCTTGAGCCTATTGTCACCCCTGATGCTGATTTCTTTCCAGTGTTGTTCACGTTAACATCTTGTTTTGCCTTTTCTGTTGTCATTGTGTTAGTTTTGAGAGGAACCTGTTCAGTTTTCTTTCTTTTTTTTTTTTTTTTTTTTTTTTTTTTTAAAAAAATTGGTCTTTTTGAGACAGGATTTCCCTGTAGCCCCAGCTGTCCTGGAACTCACTATGTAGACCAGGTTGGCCTTGAACTCACAGAGATCCGCCTGCCTCTGCCTCCCGAGTGCTGGGATTAAAGGCGTGCGCCACCACACCCAACTACTCATTTTTCATTTTTATTTTATTTTTTGGTCTTTTTGAGACAGGGTCTCCATGAACTCAGAGATCTGCCTGCCTCTGCCTCCTGAGTGCTGGAATAAAAGGGGTGCAGCACCACACCCAGCACATTTTTGTCTTTTATGTTATTTGGGGGGGGGCAGAAATCAATGTCAGAGGTCTTCCTCAACCACTCTCCACCCCCTTTTTTTTTTTGAGACAGGGTTTCTGGAACCTGGAGCGCACTCATTCCACTGGAGCCAGCCACCAGATCCTCTTATTTCTGTCTCCCAGCAGTAGGATTACAGCATTCACCATTACACTCAGCTTTTGTGGGTGCTGGGGATCTGAATTAGGTCCTCACTGTGCCATATTCTCAGCCCCAAGGGATCCTGTTTACACCACCATTTTGTTGTTTATAGTTTATTATTTTTGTTTCATGTGTATGAGTACATTGCCTGCATATATGTAAGTCTACCTGTGTTCAGCAATGCCTGCAGAGGTCAGAAAAGGATGTCGGATTCCTGAAACTGGAGTTATGGACAGTTATTAGTAGCCACGTGGGTGCTGGGAATCAAACCCGGGTCCTCTACAAGAGCAGCCATTGCTCTTCACTGCAGAGCCCTCTCCAGCCCTGTTGTTTTTAACCACACTGGGGTACCGTGGCCTTGTACATACTAGGCAAACATGCTATCACTGAGATACATCTCCATCCTCCTTTCATTTTCTATTTTGTGACAGGGTCTTACTAAGTTGACCAGGCCAGCCTTGAGCACTCTCTGTGGCCCCAGCAAACCCAGAACTTTCAGTCTTCCTGCCTCAGCCCCATGAATACTTGAGTTTACAAATCTGTGCCACCAAGCCTGACAGTAACACCATGTTTATTATTATTTTTTTATTTTATGTATATAAGTGCATTGCCTGCATGTATGTGAGTGCATCCATGTCGTGCAATGCCAAGAGGTCAGAAGAGGGCTTCAAATTTCCCTGGAACTGGAGTTAAGGACGGTTCATAGCTGCCATGTGGGTGCCAGGAATTGAACCTGGGTCCTCTGTAGAAGTAGCCAGTGCTCTTAACCGCTGAGCCATCTCTCCAGCCCCATAACGCCATTTTTAATAGCTTTATTTAGATATAATCCACCATAACATTCACCTTCATAAAATGTACTGTTCAGTGGTTGTTAGCCTCCTGGGACTGGTACAACAATCACCAAGTCCAAAATATTTTTATCACCCCCCCCAAAGAAAACCTTTCGAACATTAGCAGCAGCCCTCCACTCTCCCAGCCCCTGCCCCTACAACTCTGCTTTTTGACCCATGAACTTGTTTCGTAAAGCATCCTATTTCCCCAGCACCCAATGCCACGGGGATATGTTGGTTGTACCCCCTATTTGTACAGATGAGAAAACCGAGGCTCAGGATCCCTCAGAGAACTAACTTCCCCTTTTCCCAGGCTAATGTCTAGGGGCTCCCCAGAACTTGGCTGCACAAGGAAGGATAGGAATGCGGAGAGGAGGAAAGAGGTTGAAGGCACTGAGTAGGAACTCCTTGCTCAGCCAGCTGGGCCTTGCAACAGGAAGAGTCACTCTTGGTAGGGCCTGCTGATGGGCTGATGGCACCTCCTTATGCTCAGTGTGTTTCAAGGACAAATCGAATAACACCCATAGAGGAATGGACACTTGAGCAGGCAGGTGAGAACAGGGCCTTTCAGGGACTGGGACCCAAGAAGGTGAGGCTAGCAAGTGTGTGGTTGGGTAGGTAGGGGGTTGCAGAAGTCCAGCTACGCTTCTCAGGAGCTCTGGGGCTCTGTGGAAATGACCTCACCTTTCTGGGCTCCCAAAAGTTCAAGTGTGAATGGTACCCACCCTCAGTACCCCAGGGTTGCCATGAGTCCCAGTGAGTTCACACAGATGCATCCATCACATTGGAAACCAACCACTCCACCTCAAGGAGCCAAAGCCCAAAGAGGCTGGAGGTTGGCAAAAGCCACAACATCAGAGGCTTGGTTTAGAGCCAGAGTTGGACTCCCTGACCCCTGGAAGCCTTTCTCCTCCACTGTAACAGGGATTTAATAATCCTTCCTGGCTCCCAAAGAGCGGTGAGACTGAATCTGCAGTTATCAGCGCCCTCTGGGCCCCAGACTGGGAAACCAGACAGGCTCCTACTCCAAGCTGCCTTCCCTGCCCAGGGCTGCTCTCATCCTGGCCTCTTTCATCTTATGCTTAATTAGCCAGGTGCCCCACCCCACAGCCCCTTGGGCAGGAGTCATCACTCCCAATTTATAGATGGGGAAACTGAGGCACCTAGAGGGAAGTGGTTTAGGGATGTCGCCTGTGAGTCAGCTGTGGAGCCAGAGCCCAGAGGAGCCCAGAGGAGGCGGGACCAAGCCTTCTAGCTGAACCTGCGCCTCCGGTGGCTGTCTCCATTTCGTAGCATCCCCAACTCTGGTCCTGGATGCCCAAGCACCCTTCTTTCTAGCCTTCTACCTCACCACTCCCATCTTCTGGAGGCGGGGGGAGGTCGCGGTAGGGAGGTGCTTGGGAAGCCTGGAGGAAGAGAGGTGAGTGGCCAGTGGCTGACAATGAGGGTTCAGGTGTTTCATCTTCAAAGCGGCTCATTAGAGTACCACAGGCTCTTTAGGAGGGTGGGCGATAGGGTTTGGACGCGCGAAGTTTTGCACCCTGGAAATCAGAGGGCCCAGCTCACGACTCCCCCAAACAGCTGGGATCCAGCCCTCTGGACTCCAGTAGTGCACAGACTGAAGTGCACAGCCCCGAGTGCACATCCTGGCCCGAGGTCTCCTTGCTTCCAAAGCCTAGGTTCTCTGTCCATGTCAGGCGTGCTGCGAGCCAGGGGACCCACCAGGCCTGGCCAGCCTGCACTTCCGGAGTCTGGATCCCGTTGCGTTCCGGCTTCCCGGCCGCTTTGGGCCCCGTCCCGCCCTCTTCACCCCGGCGCGGCTGCGGGCAAAGGTCAGCATGACCGCCCGGCTGCAGCCCCGACGCCGGCTCCTCGCCCCCAAGCCGAGCGGGTGTGGGACCCCGGCCCGCGTGGGGGACGCCAAGCCAAGCCCTGCGGCGCCGGTCCAACCGGTCCCGCCGCGCCTGGCGCCCTGCTCTTCCCGCACTGCTCCTCGCGCGCCCCCAGCGGCCGCCTCGGGACCTGCACCCCGCCGCCCGATCCCGAGCAGGGCATCTAGGCGCGGGTGGGGGCACTACCCAGGGGCTCCCGGCCCGCCCAGTCCGCCCCTGCCCGCGCCCGCGGTGGTTTCGGGGAAGGGGGCTACGCGGCGAGACAGTTACTCAGCCCCGGCGAAACCGGCGAGTCGGCACCTGCCGGGCGTGCTGGGCAGGCGGAGGCCCCGTTACGCCCCGCCCCCGGGCGCGCCTCGCCCCGCCGCCCACGCTCCGTTCGCCCCGCTCCGCCTCCGCGCCGCCCGCCCGCCGGCCCGGAAGGAGCCAACGGAGTGCCCGCGGCGGCTGACTCAAGCGGTGAGAGCCCGTTACCACCGGCGCCAGCGGCCGGGTCGACGCTGTGGTTTCGGTGCGCGCCGTAGGCGGGAGGCCTAATGCGCTCTCCGCACGCAACTCACAGGCGGCCCCGCCGGTGGTCGCGGCTCTGTTCCGCAGGGTCCTAGGCGGACGTTTTCGGCTCCTCCCGGAAGCCTCTAGAGCACCAGGGTCTGCTGGGGTCTGCAGTGCAGGATGGCCCTGGGTTGACCCTGCTGGGGTCTGCAGTGCAGGATGGCCTTGGGGTGACCCTGCTGGGGTCTGCAGGACGGTCCTGGGGCGACCCTGCTAGGGTTTGCAGGACCGTCCTGGGGTAACAGTGCCTCCCCCATGGTGGGGACCGGGCGCCCTCTGGCTGCCGGGAAGCTCAGCGCCTCCTCACCATGTGTGCTTGGACCAGGACTTTATACTCCTTTCCGCAGAGACGTCACTTGCTTACTGACCATGGGGCCCCTGAATCGGGAAGCCTGGGCCCGGCGCCTGGCGGCTTTCCGGGCCAGTCCATCCACCTTCATGGCACGGGCCGAAAGTGAGGATTTGGGTCTCGACCTGCTGAGCGACTTAAGGAGTGACAAACTGAGCGAGCAGACCAAGGTAGGGCGTGCTGGTGTGCCCCGCCACGGTGCATGGTTGCCCCAGACTACCGAATCCTGATTCCCTCTTAAACCCCCCATCCCAGGTTTCCTTGTTGGCACTGAGCTTGGAGTACTCAGACAAACTGTGGCCTGATGCACCTGCTGCAGAGGCTGCCGTCACCTCCCTGTTGGACACTCTGATCCTCCTACCCCCAAGACCTTCAGCTCTGCGCAGGCCCCTGCTGCTGGCAGCCACCACAGCCCTGGTGGCAGGGGGGGCTCTGGGACCCACCTCTGAAGCTTCCTGTCGGCTCCTGCCCCTACTGCTACGCTTAGCTTCAGGCCAAGATGTGGGACGAGCCTTTGGACCCACCGCAGAACAGCACCCCTTACAGGCCACAGCGTGTGAGTGCCTGCGGGAGCTCGAGAGCTGCAAACCGGGGCTGCTGGGAAGCTCCCTGGGGCTGCTGCGGAGCCTCCTGGGACAAATGGGGCCGGTCCAACCCCTCAGTCTGCTGCTGGCTCTTGTGCTGCACAACACTTTGGTGGCCCAATCGAGGTCTGGGGTTGGACTGCAGGGCCTGCTTGTGGCTGGGGCCTCCTCCACTGGGGGTAGCCGCTGGGACTGGACACTGGCTGAGGAGGGGGATGCCCACCTTCAGCCCCAGGCACCCAGTTGGCCCACAGCTGAGGAGGGGGAGTGTGGCCTTTCGATACTAGAGCCCAGCCCTGAGGAGGCCCGGGAGCTGAGGGCTGCCGTGGCTCAGCTTCTAGACACCTCCTACCTGCTCACTCCTGTGGCCCAGGCCCACCTTCTGTGGCTCCTGGGCTGGGCGATGCGGGGTCTTCGGGGACAGCTACCAATGCTTTTCAAGCCACAGCTGGTTCGGCTGCTGGGCACAGCACAGCTGACACTGCTGCACTCGGTTCTTGCCCTCAAGGCCACCTTCGGTGAGGCCTTGTTCACCACTCAGGATGAGGCCCTGCTGCTCCGCAGGCTCACCTTGGCCGCCCAGCACCCAGCCTTGCCTTCGCCCACCCATCTCTTTTACCTGCACTGCCTCTTGAGCTTCCCTGAGAATTGTCCACTGGGGCCTGAAGGGGAGGAGGCTGCCCCCCTGCTACTGGGGCCCCAGTTATGTCGTGGTCTCATGCCTAGTCTCCTGCATGACCCGATGGCCCTCCTGGCTCACCTGCACTTGTTGTGTCTGCTCTGTGCTGAAGATGAGGAGGAGGACAAAGGCCAGGCTCAGAGCCCACGGCAGTTCTTGGTGGAACTGCTGACTGGCCTGCTGCAGAGGGCAGCCCTGGGTGATGGTCCCCGAGCCTTGGCCACTCTCTGTTTCCAGGCCACATACCTGACTGCCAGCTGCCTGGCAGGGCAGCCTGCAATACTGACACCCTTGATCCATGGACTGGCCCAGCTATACCAGGCTCGACCTTCACTAGTGCCGCACTTTGTGGACCTCTTGGATCGGGTGGGCCCTGAGCTGGGAGAGCCCCTCAGGAAGGTCCTGTGGCAGGAGGTGGTAACCAGGCCAGGCCCGGGTGAAGCTCTTGGCTGGCACCTGCAGATGCTGGCAGAGGTGGCAGAGGGAGGTGCTCAGAGTGCCACCCTCAGCTTTCTACAGGCTACAGCCCCCCACTGCACCGACTGGGGCCTACAGCAGGCCCTGCTGCAGGTCTGTCGGGCCTTGCTGCAGACCAGTGGGGGAGATGGCCTGGCAGACTTGCTGCAGATGCTGGCCAGGCAGCTGGAGGACCCTGATGGGCGGGACCATGCCCGCCTCTACTATATGCTCTTGGCCCACCTGGCAAGTCCCAAGTTGGGGGTGGCCCTGGGCCCCTCACTTGCTGCACCTGCCTTGGCTTCTTCACTGGTGGCAGAGAACCAAGGCTTTGCGACAACACTGATGGTTCAGGAGACCCCAGCCCCAATTCAGTTGAGTGTGGGGCGGCAGAAGGCCAGAGGCCCACTCCCAGTGCTTCGGCTTCAGGTGGAGGCACTGGAGGCTGTCTACTCTATGGAGCTGCGCTTCTGTGTCAAAGGACAACTCTATGAGCCTTTGGAGGCCATCCACATACCCTGCCTGTGTCCAGACCGGCCTACCCATCCTCTGTACCTGACCCTGAAGCCCCGACGCCCAGCCCCTACCCAGCTACAGGTCCAGGCTCTTTATACCACAACCACAGGCCTCACATGCCATGCCCACCTGCCACCCCTGTCTGTGAACTTTGCTGATCTTTTTCTGCCTTTTCCCCAGTCCCCCAAGGGCTCTGAGCTGAGTTTCTTTGAGGAACTCTGGGACTCCTGCCTGCCAAAGGGTGTGGAAAGCCGTGTGTGGTGTCCACTTGGGTCACAGGGCCTGGAGACCTTGGTGTCCCAGCACCTGGAGCCCTTCGTGGTGGTGGCCCAGCCCCCCACCAGCTACCACATAGCCGTCCACCTGCCCCCTCACTCGATGCTGCTGCTGCGGCTGGAAGCAGCCCAGGCAGATGGAGTGCCTGTGGCCATCAGGACTGATGACTGGGCCGTGCTGCCTATGGCAGGAGACTACCTCCGTGGGCTTGCAGCCTGTTGAGTGACCCCTGGGAGGCCAGGTGGGACAGGACTGGTGGCTCTTGGGACTGGCCCAGCGGGTTGCTAAGGGTCATAACATATTCTTGCAGCTCCAATTCCATAAAAACTAACATTCACTACCAACCCTCACTGGCTTGTTTTCTTTTGGACCTTCTCTAAGAGCAGGCTTACCTGGGGTAGGTCATAGGCCCCAAGAAAGGCCAGACTAATCCCATAGTTCCTGCTCGGAGAGGCTAAAAACCGTCTTTTCCAGAGGGTGTGGCCTGGCCCAAAATCACTCTGAAACTTAGTATGAAGACTGGAATTCAAACTTGGGCTTCCTGACCTGGGGCTGGAATCCTGCCCCCAGAAGTCCAGGCTACACTGGATGATGATAACTTGTGAGAGAAGCCTGGCACCCTTTCCTGGGGCTGTGCTGGTTTGAACCAGCTATAGAGATAGCCTGCCAGTAAGGTTCTGGGCAGAGGAGAAGGAGGGGGGCACATTCTCCTAATCCCAGTACCCAGGAAACCCAGTCTGTGCTTAAGAATCTTCTCAGGAGAAGAAATTGTCCCCCTACTTCTTTTTCCAAATGTGCAAGACACGTGGGGTTCACATGCATTGAGGCCATCTCTGCCGCCAGGCACAGAGCCTGGTATTTCCCACATACATTGCCTCATGTCATTTTGCAACAGTTCTGCAGAACTCCCTCCACAGGTGAGGAAATCTGCTAGCCAAAGGGGTTAAGTGATTTTCCTGAGGCCGTCAGCTGTGAAGTAGTCAGTAATTTGTCATCCTGTAGCAGGCTTTCTTTGCTACACGCAGAGCTCTGTGGGAGCTGCACAGCCAGCCCACTCCACCCTGAGCAGACCCTGGGTATGCTGAAGCAGCGGTCAGCTGGTGCTGGTGGGCAAATGACCTTGGACTTGGGATGGTCTCAGGGAAGGGCTGCTTTTCTGCCCCTGCTTCTGATTCCTAACAGGCCATCTTAGGTCAAGGCTAAAGCCAGGTTCAAGCTCAGGCTGTGAAGGTAACTGGGACTGTGGGACTTTTTTCACTCCAGCCTGGGCATCTACAACAGGCCAAAGAAATGATCCCATCCAAATCTAGCTTGGTGAGCTAGTAAGTTCATTGGAGTTACTTATGGGAATGTGGGTGAGTCAAGGACAGCTCCATCACCAAAAAGCCCACTCCAGCCTTGGTGATCATTGAGGAAAGCTACATCCCCACAGCTTCTGACAGCCAGCTCCACAGGAGGCTCCCCAGCAGGTAAGGACTGATTTTATAAACTGGGGGAGGGACCTCACAAATCTTGAAATCTTCTGAGCTTCCAGAGATTTGTAAATTTCCTGAGTCTTTTATTTATATATTTTTAAATATTTTTATGTATATGAGTATAGTTCCTGCATGCACCTGTAAGTGCACCTGTGTTATGCAATCTGGAGGTCAGAAGAGGACATTGAATCCCCTTGGAACTGGATGGTCATTAGCAGCCACATGGGTGCTGGGAACTGAACCCAGGTCCCCTGCAAGAGCAGCTAGTGCTCTTAACCACTGAGCCAACTCTCCAGCCCTCCTGAGTCTTTTGAACCTGAAGGAATGTTTGAATGAGGAAACAGCTTTGCCAGCCATTACCAAACCTGGAAGGCAGTGGTTTCAGGAACTCCAGCTGTTTGTAGGTCAGGACCTTACCCACTCCTCATGAAGACTAGAGAAGCGGGCCTCATAGAAGTTGCCACTGGAGCTTGTAGAGTTCCAGGATTTGCTGCCCTGCCTGCAGCCCAGCCCCTGAGCACCTTGGGTTTGAGAGTAGATCTGCTGCCACTGCCTCTTAGTACTCACCAAGGTAGAGACCGGATGCTGCTGGAGAGAGCTTTGCCCCCTCCATGGCCCCCACCAGTCAGACACCATCTAATTAGTGTGTTCCATTTCCCTCAATCTAGTGGCAAGGGAATCCAGAAATGCAGCTATTTTCACACACATGCAGAAAGTGTGTTACTAGGCCCAGGAGGCTGGGGAGATGACTCAGTAAACTGCTTGCTGCACAAGGGTGAGGGCCCAAGGTCTACACACCCCCAACTCCTGTGACAGCTAGGTGAGACCCCATGTCTATATCACAAAGCTGGGGAGGTGGAGACAATCTGGAGCTTGTTGCCATGCAGTGTAGCCAATCACGCTCCAGGTTCAGTGAGACCCTGCCTTGGAAGGTGAAGAGCAATCAGGTGCTCAGCATAGACCTGTGGCCTACACACATGCACACACCCTTGCACACGGGATCACAAACACACCCACACATAAAAAGAATAATTAGCCCTATGTGAGAGCTGACCATCCAGCTCGTGTTCGTCTTTCTACCATCCATGGAGGCATCCTGTTCCGTCTACCCACTCTTACAGTGCTGGACATCAGATGGACTCAATTCCTCCAACCAAAACAGGTTAGGGGTTCTGTGTCACAATTCAAATGTCAATTGGTAAGTCACGGGTTGTGACCTGTGAGTCTGACCAACCCTCTTTGCAATTGATCATTATTAAGAAACACTACTGTTATGTTACTTCTTTTTTATAAAAGATATTACATTGCCAGGTCTGGCAGTACCACACTTATAATCCCAACCTGAAGCAGGACAATTGCTTTGAGTCCAAGGACAGCTGGTCTCACAGGGAGACTATGTCAAACAACAAACAAAAGTATATTAAAGAGGGCTGGAGAGATGGCTCAGCAGTTAAGAGCACTTGCTGCTCTTTCAGAGGACCAGGGTTTGGTTCCCAGCATTCTCTTGATGGCTAACATTCCTAACTCCATTTCCAGAGGACCTGACACTCTCTTCTGGCCTCCCTAGGCAATGCATTTACATACATGCAGGCAAAACTCATACACATAAAAATGATTTTTTTTTTTTTGATTTCTTTGAGACAGGGTCTCCCTGTAGCCCCAGCTGTCCTAGAACTCACTACGTGGACCAGGCTGGCCTTGAACTCAGAGATCGCTTGCCTCTGCCTCCCGAGTGCTGGGATTAAAGGCGTGTGCCACCCCGCCCAGCGATTTTTTAAAATTTAAAAGTATGTTACAGCTGGGCATGCTTGGACTAAAGGCATGTGCCACCACACCTGGCTTGGAATAATAATTTAATGCTCACTGTAGCCTGGACCAAAAGTCAAGCTCAGGCATAATTAAGGCCATGGCTGGACTCACCAATGTGACTACACACAGACAAAGATGCATAGAAGTGGTTGAGTGGTGGTGACAGGAGACAGGACCAAAGGAGCTCATGAGCAGGGCTCAGCCTGGGTCTGCATTTGAGGGTGGCAGTTCCAGTGTGGTGCAAGCTGTGTGCAATAGGCCAGCCTAGGCAGCTGAGGAGGTGACACTTGTTCTGGCTGCCTTGTCCCAGTATAGGAATGATCAGTTATCAATTCAAATAACCAGCCCTTCTTCCCTTCCTGGAGGATGGGGCTGAAAGTTCCAAGGTTCTATTTGTGGCTCAAGTCTTTCTGGTGACCCCTCCCCATCCTGGAGCCCACCAGGAATCACAGCACTAGAACAAAAGACTACTATTACCACAACAATATTACCATTGAAGGGGAAATGATTTATTGGTTATTTACCATTATTCTACAAAGATTTCCAAGAATTATACAAACTGGTATACAGATGCTTAAATGTTATGTTCTTAGTAAAATAGTCAAGTTTCTATCTCAAAGTGAGGTGGTTCAGCATGGTGGAAATTTAATTTTTTTTGCCCTATTTTGAGAAAACTAATCAAAGAATAGAATTTTGCATGGATTTAGAGTTTCCCTACGGCCACTATAGAACTGTGAAATAATTTTTGGATCAACTTTGCACATTAGAGATTATTTGCTGTCAAGAAGAAAGCAAAAAATCCAAAAAAGTCATGTACTAGGATCTAAAGGGCTTCAACAATGGTTATTTGTTTTTAATCAACTACAAATCTGTAAATCAGCATATTAAACATTGAGACACTAAATCAAGGCCATGAATATTCTGACACTTCTTCAGTGACTAGATTCAAAGTTAAGTCTTCAGAATAAGTAATTTTCAGAAAGAAAAGATTTCAATACGTAAATGGGATGGGAAACACAAGAACACTCACTCAGTAGACTTCCAGTACAGAGAGGACCTGGCCTGATGTTGAATTTAACAGACATTTAGGGAAGAAAATATACCACCTCTCTGAAGTCTTTTCCAGAAGTCAGAAGGAGGAGTACTTTGCTACTCGTTCTGTGATGCCACCATTATCCCCATACCAAAACCAAATAAGGACATTGTTTTTTAAAACCCCACAAGACAAGCTGGGTGTGGTGGTGCACTTGGGAGGCAGAGGCAGGCAGATCTCTGTGAGGTCAAGACCAGCTTGGTTTACATAGTGAGTTCCAGGCTAGCTGGGGCTACAGGGAGACCCTGCCTCAAAAAAAAAAAAAAAAAAAAAAAAAAAAAAATCACAAGACTGGGACTGGAGATGGCTCAGTGGTTAAGAGCACATACTGCTCTTGTAGAGGGCCTAATTCAGTTTCCAGTACCCACGTCTGGTGGCTCACAACTGCCTGTAACTCCAGGGGATCTGACGCCCTCTTCAGGCCTCCTCAGGCACTGCACTCAGACAACTCATAAACACATAATTCAAAATAAAGCTGGGCAGTGGTGGCGCATGCCTTTAATCCCAGCACTCGAGAGGCAGAGGCAGGTGGATCTCTGTGAGTTCAAGGCCAGCCTGGTCTACATAGTGAGTTTAGAACTGCTGGGGCTACAGGGAGACCCTGTCTCAAAAAGACCAAATAAATAAAAAGTAAAATAAAATCATGAGTTCAAGGACAGACCTCATCTCAAACAAATAAAAAAACCTGGGTTCAAATCCCAGCACATACACAATTAATAAATGGAATGTAGCAGTACACAAAAAGAATTCTATAACGTGATGAAGTGGATGTATTCCAGATGTGGAAAGCTGAGCCAACATTTCAAAAAGTTAATGTGGGCTGCAGAGGTGGCTGAGTGGTTAGGAATGCATATTACTGTTAGCAGACAGCCTGGGAGTGCCTGGATCCAGCCTCCATGTGGTGGTGAGCTCCCCCAAATCATGTCATGCCCAACCTCCTACATTGGGACCACATGTGGCCCCT